CGAACATAAAGTGTTAAATAAAGTCACCACATTTTTGCCAATATAGCATTTTCGATCGTTTTTCAATGTTTTAATGCAATACAACAAAATGGAATGCTAAATTTTAAAGCAATCTCCAGCAGAAACTCTGTATGAAAAAAAACTTTCCATTTAAGTTCCAGAGACTGAATCTCTGATTAAATGAAAATTAGTTTAAAAAAGAAGAAAATAACCAAAACTTGGCACAAGCGCTCTCTCAGACGATTAAAAAAAGCGTGTTATATCTACACTTGGCATTGAGTCAACTTGGTTCTTGTTGTCGAATGTTTATTCTGTTTTAACAGTAGCAAAACGGAACGAGATGCGAAAGGAAGAAGCACATTCATATCCTTATCTTTATTGCATATTCAGTAAATCGGCAACAATGCGAAATCATGTGAGTGCCCACACCATTAAAGCTTTGAACCATGGAGTCTGGTGGTAAAACTGAGACATATACGCACAATAACAACAACAGCGACAAAAGTGGCGTCAACGTTACTAAAGCCATATGATACTGATTAACATTCAAAGCAAGAGATCAACGAATACAATCGGCGGATTCATGGGTTCACACACATCAGGGAAACCATTTTTAAGCATCGTCGTACGACACAAAACGAGACAGAATGATAAATAAGAATGCCAATGACATGGATTTCATTATTTGATCTAAATACCAAAGGTATTACCATTGAATTTGGTCGCACGAGAGGTACAAAAGCGTATAAAAATGCATTGAATTGTGAGATCGAGATATTGAAAGATAGAAAATGACACTGAATGGTAAAGAGCAGAAAATAGGAGAAAAAAGGCATAAAAAGAGCTGAGCGTAAGGAATGAATGTGACCAACATTTGTATTCCCGATGTTTTGTATTGATGAAGTCAACAGTAATCAAAAGCAACGGAATCACCTCCGCATACACACACACACACACACACACTCGGGTGCACGAGGAGCACAACGAGCAGATGATCAACGCATAAATACATATCTTGGAAAATTCCGATGGCACGAAGAAATGTGTGGCTGTGAATTGAACGCACAAATAAAGCCATGCCGTGGTGAATGTATATATTAGGTATTGAATAGTATGTGTGTACTGTTCGATTGGTTGATGATAAAAAGAATTGGATTTTTACGGCATCCACTGAATATAAAATACAACCACACAATCGATGAACCGTATGCTCTCTTTTTTACGTGTTGACGGCAGAAGTGTGTATGGTTAATGGGAGCGCAAAAATTTCAATAACATTGAATGAGGAGGAAAAAAAACATTCAACATTGAAATCAACAGACCGAGAAAATAGGAAGCTAACAGATTCCATCCACAATCGTTTTACACAATCAAAATGATATCAGTCTTCATGATGGCCATTACGTTGAATGCCATCGATCTATTAATAGCAATTGTGAACAAGATTATGGAGAACTGAGGCGACAATTCAACTTTGAAATCACTTCAATGTAGAGCTTCTCGAAATTCGTTAATCACTTGTGTCGAATCTGTCTTTTCAATTCGCTTAATTTCGAGTGTGTCTTATCCTTTTTTGCCCATTCAATTAATTATCGAATTAAAAATAAATGTAAGCAATACCCAACTCGACGGGCAGACCATTTCAACTAAAATGCCACTTGATTCATTATACGCTCGATGGAGAGCGATTCCAGCGTAGTAATTGTCAAGCTAGTAACTTAAAGCTATAGTGCATACTTTCACCCTTTTCTATCTCGGTAATTTCGAATGGTTGCAATTTGGACGAAAACTTCATAGAAATGTCGGCGTTTATGTGTCAACCATAAAACAGCCATTATTTCTTTACTTTCGTTAACTAATCTGTAGGTCGTGAGACGTGCCAAAAATGGGTGAAATGACACACACGATGTGATATTTTCTGTTTAATGGTATCGCATTTATTGAACTGTGGTGGAATAAATAATGAACATGTTCTTTTCGTCGAATGACGAAGCGTGTAATGATGCTCTGCACATTTCAGAAAGGTGTAAGTTGTACTCAGACGCCGAGTCATTCTGTCATGAGAATTATATTTCTCATATTTCTTTTTTCGTTCTATTCATTCTTTGCACTTTTACTTTTATGATTTATCACAGGTCCGTTGTCTCGCCCGTGCCTTGCTCGTTCAAAAGTGAAAGTGATGCTAATAAAATTTGGTTAGCCTATATTGAATCGATAAAGTGTCATAAAAATGCAAGTGATGGCACTCATAAAATTACACAAAAGAAAATCATCTGTTAATTAAGATGATAACAAGTTTGCTGACTTTTTCTTCTTGTTCGGGCTTGTCTACAGTTTACCTCCTTTTTTCTTCTTTCTCTCTCTCTCTCTCTCTCTCTCTCTCTCTTTCGCTCCTCCAATATATTGATGATCGATGTCATCGTGTGAATGAAGCGTTGCATATTGAAGACGACATTTTCAACGTCTGTCGAACTGCGAAACTTTGTTCGTCCTTGATGTGATCGGAAGAAAAAGTGGGTAGGAGGGCCAAAGTGCAGTTCATTTGTTATCTAAAGTGGAATACTCGAGAGCGAATATGGTGATAAATTTCCTGAATATTGCGATTCCTCCGGCTGCATTTGCATACAATTTCATCGTGTTGCTACACTTTTCTGCTTCGCATAAATTACATTTTCTTCCGTTGCAGAGCAGAAAAAAAGAGTAGAATATGGAAGAGTGTGCGAACTAGAGAAAAGAATAGCTCACGAAAAAGCGAGAGATAAAACGATTCGATGCTTAAATCAACAATGTCGATCAATATCATTTGAATTGATGAAGTGATGAAACGCTATGTTTTTGTCGCCGTCGTTTTTTTTCTCTCTTTCGTTTCGTTGATGCCACAGTCACGTCGCTCACATTTTTCAAATTTTACATGCAAAAGTTGCACATATATACCTCAATGCACCGGATGAATGGGAACATTGTCACACCATAATGCAGCACCCCAATCCAATCGCAATTGCAATCGGTATTTTGCTCCTTTCGAATCACTCTCTCACACACACACACACATTTCGTACGAATGCAAATATCATCAACGAAACGTGCAATTCCTATGCTATCAAACCCAAATGACACAATTTATTCCACACAAATTATACGCAAATATTCATTTCGATAATGTTTATAAAATGTGCTTTCTTTGTGAATGATTTTGAAATTCGATGCATGGTAAATCATGCTCCGCTTCACGGGCACAATTAATCAGAGTCACTCGAGATTGGTGGGATATACTTTGTGTTTTGGCAAGCCCAAAATTGAATTCTGCACCAAAAATATCCGCAATGCCAATTTCAATTTCGGAATTGAATACAATAAAAGCATATCGTCAGACACATTAAACGTTTGGATGTGGGAAGGTCAGAAGTTCCATTTTCTGCCAAAATAAACTCGTGCTCATACTTAATCGAGAAAAGGAAAAAAAATAAACCAAACAACACATTGATAAGCCGTTGAATAAACATCAATTCATCCGCAGTCGTCAAAAACTCTCAAAGCAAGCACATAGCTCACAGCACACAGCACACACAAATGATTTTGTGTGCAACATTCATTAGTATTTTGAAATGTGTTGTGCTCAAAAGCAGGTCGAGTTCATGTTTTAATCACCAAAACATACACGTCGCTTTGTGACGATGAACTTATTGAATCAAGTGCGCTTATTAGTCATTTAAGCGTATTAAAAGCACTAATGAAAGTTTCAAAGCCAACCTACAAGTGGGAGATTTTCTAGCTTCCATTCCTACCCTTCCTCTTGTGCTCTCTTCCACCCTAGTAGCCGGCCCGCTCACTCTTCCCGTTACCATCTAAACGGGTACGAATTATGATGAAAAACCTATTGGAATTTTGTCACGAATCGATGCGTACGTTTGCGGAATGCAATGCTAAAGGTGTGGCGTGACTTTTCTAATACTTTTTTTCTCTTTCCTCCTCTCCCTCCCTCTTTCGTTTTGTTTACAATTTGATTAAAACGGCACGTTTTCGTTGGCAGGGAAAAGGCATCGGCGTTCGTGAGGACAATTGATTCGACGCATTTAGGCGACCTCAAAACTAACCGAAACTACTTTATCTTGTGTGTGTGTGTGTGTGTGTGTGTGTGGATGTGATCTTGGCACGCGCACGCTAACGGATAAATCCGGTTTGACAAATTATGAAGGTTCGGCATCCGTTTACTTCATGTAAAATCGATGATTGTATAAAAACTCACGTACGCAATGCTCACGATATTAATCTACACTAAACCATACCCGACTGTATCATCGAAGTAATGCCATCAACTAACTCACTTTTCCTCTCTTTCTGTCTCTATCTAAGCATCTTTGCCAACGACTATCGAAATTAAGTTGAACCGAGCGAAGGGAGTAGAAAAAGGCACAACAACAACAACAACAAAAAAAGGAATAAGAAACTACGGCAACTTTATTTATGTCTCGTTATGCGATACAAAGTAAAATAAGATATGAATTTGATATTCTCGACGACGTTCCGTGCACCAAGTGAAAACATGATTTGTTTTCTCGTAACTTGTAACATCTTCCCCACATCCGTGCATTGTCTGTGTGTGTGCACGCGCGAGTATCCCTCTTTTTAATACGTTCCGAACGATCCGCATGCCAGCTCTTTTTTCTTCAGCTTTTATTTGTTTGTTCATCGATGTGTCACTTAATGTTCACACGACAGAATTTAATTTAAGCAACGAAACATCAGACACTATGAGCATCAAGCCGTTCGCACAGAAGGCAAATCGTGAGAATAACCGTACAACAGCAACGGAGAAATGCTGTGTATGCACAAACCTTCCTCACAGGGGTAGAATTCGGAGTTTGTCCCGCGCCTGCGTACACAAGGGCAAGTAATTTTAAAATTGTTCGGACGGTTTCATTCATAGCGGCGTGTTTATATGTTCTGAGAACAAATAAGTTCGGCTTAACACATGAGGACCAGTCAGTTGGTGTTCAGCCGTTCAACAAACCGATCATGTCACAGAAATGTGCTGTTTCAGTTATTCAACGATACGATATACCATTCATTTATCGTCAGCGATAGAGTTCGTTGTCGGTTAACCAAATCATCCAATAATTTTGTCAGTCGCGTGCATTTCACGGTGTACGAACATTTTATTGTTTTCCAATGAAAATGTGAACAACTTTTTCCATTATTGAAAATGTAAGCGGAAATCTCCACGGATTTCATTTCGACGAACAGTTTCAACTAGATTGTGAAGTGCATTCATGGCTTTTTTTTTTGTTTAAATCATGCATGCAATCATTCGAGAGAAAAAAAACGCTATTGATGCAACGACAAATATTGTTTGTTTGAAATTCAAACTGTATGAATTGAGCTAAAGTGTTTTTGATTCCGTAACTGGATGTTTTTCGCAAATATTTGTAGTCTCAGTGAAATTGAGACGAAAGAGAAAGCAAAATTTGTGATGGGATTAATTTTATGAATTTTTTCGGTGAATTTCCTTAACCTATCGAACAGGATCTATATAAAGGAAGACAAAAAAAATAACCTTGAACATTTGACATTGGTAATAAACAGTGTTTATTTAACACCTGGTTCTTTCATAACTCAAGTTAAATGGTTCATTTGATTGTGGTTTTAAAGAGAACATCACCTCATGCTAATCATGCTAATACAGGTTTAAAAAGTGGGCCAAAGTGAATGCGGTTGAATTAATGGAGATTTAATGATCCATCATCATATTTCTCTGTGGTTTTAAAATGGATAAATATTGTGCGTGATCCAAATAGACCAAGAAAAAAAAATCGAGTGAATGCAAAGGAAAAGTGGAACGAACCGTGAAGAAAAATTTTAATTGCGGAAATCCGACGAGAGAACCACGCTATAAAAAGGAGTAGGAACATCAGTGTGGCTGAGTATACAATCGTTTAGATCTTTGAAAAGAGGGCTCCTTTCGTACGTGATCACGCACCATCAAGCACAAGGCAAACTATATCATTTCAACATTTTAATCACGTACGTATTGAAGCATCAAACAGTTGGTAGGCCATTGTCTCGTTTCACTCACCCGAACAAACAAAGACGATTGCATGATACAGAGGATCAAACTTTTTGAAAATCCTATTCACGACACTGTTTCAAACAATTCTTGTAAAACTGGCGTGGCTGGCCCATTTCATGTAAGTAAAAAAAGAAATCGAAAACAGAAGAAAAAAACAATTGAAAGACTTTATTTTTTATTTTTATGTTCATGAACAAAAAAAAACTATTTCGTAAAAAAAAAACAATTGGTCGCGTAGAGAAAAAAAGGAAGCACGAACACAAAGTCACTACACAATGTATTATTCAACGGACGAAAGTACTCTAAAAGCGAATGGTAAAAAGTGTGGAATTATTTTTCGAATGTGATTCGGTGCGCTTGCTGTGCCAAAACCATGAAATTCATTAAACTAAAACCATTTTAATCGAGTCGCCCGCTAGAATGCCAGAAAAAAACCATTCGAAATTGTGTATGCCCAATGTGAACACAAGCGCGTACATCAACTGCATCAAATCAAGTGCATAAAGCAAATCGAAATAAGCGAAATAAGAGTAAAGCAATTGGGCTTTGACAGACCTATCACCTGCATGTATCGCAATTCAATGCAACAACTTTGAATTTTATACGCCGTAACGAGTCGTACGCTAAAATACTCATGCTGCTTTAGCGTTATTTTTGCGTTGAGAATGGTTGTGTTCAAAATGCGGTCGAACATAATATCGATTCTAATCGATGAGATGGAAACGGGTGAAAACCTCGTATTGGTATACAAAAACGGGTTTTGTTTGACTATTCGGAAATGAAAAGCATTTACAAAATATTACACCCACATATCCAATGCAGCAACAAATGGAAAACCAAACTGGAATAACTATTCAGCCAAATATAAGCCAATACGAATCAAAGGAAATATGTGGGTCGCCTTAGTCATCGCCGATGACTTTTGCTAATTGAATCGAAATATTCCGATAGCAATCTGGTTTTCGAAGTTTCCAATAATAATCAATTACAAACGGATTTTGATGGGATCCTTTCGCTTTTGTCTTTTTGATACACTTGGATGACAAACTAAACTAATATGTGCATATGGTACTATGTTTTACGGTTGTAGAAACGGATCGCATAAATGAAATCCCACCGTGAATCTTTCATGATATTCACCACAAATATGTGTCACACACAGTAGAACCCGTTACGAAGAGCCCATATAAACACAATGTGATATCATACGATTCAAAAGATTTTCACCCATCGTCTGACTGTTGCGCAAATACCAGCCCGGCACTGGATCAAAGTCATGTACATGCATCATCGCCTCAAATTGGCATAATATTCAATATTTCATATATCCACTTTGATGTTTTATTCAGCGAAGACCAAAATTGCCGCTGTAGACAAAGTGATAGACAGACGAACAGGGGAAAAAACCCAGCGTGGAACATTTTTTTGATGTGCAAAATATTTACAAAAGCTTTCCAATGAATCATCATTTTCGCATAAAATATTCCATGAAAATAGGATACTGTCTGCTGGGAATAAAGACGACATATACAAGGTCCAAGAAACAATAAAATAACAAGGATAATTGGATCCTAGAAAGAAAGAAACGCCGAACGATTTTTCCTTTCATTCTGGTGTTATTCGATTTATAACATGAACCATGTTTTCCTTTAAAAAAAAACCATGAACAAAGTGTAACACGATTCGGATTCAACAGAAAAAAGTTTCAAAGAAAGATATTGAGTTTTTTGGGAAATTCGACCGAAAATAAAAGGGAAATTCCATATCTTTTATTTCAAATTACTTGGTGATAGTGGTAAAAATGTCAAACTCCAATGTTTATTTAACTTCCACTCTCTCTTGAGTCGCGTTAAAATTTGAATGGGAAACGAAAGCATCTCAAGTTAACTTGGGGTGTTGACAATGCGGCACATTGAGAGTTAATTAAAACGATTCGTGTCTGAAATGGCTTGTTCATGGGAATTAAATCAAGTGTAACATTACGAAGAAATTAGGAGCATTTTCGGGCGAACAAAAATCCATTCGTTGCCTAATTGGTGAGTATTCTCTTGTCTGAAACGTGACTGTGGAATGTGATGAAAGGCGTGAATCTTGTTGTTTTGGCGTACTGTCTTGTTGTCAAGAAATTTCCGCTACAATCTTAACAACCGAAAAATGCGAACAATGTGTCTGTGTGTGTGTGTGTGTTTGTTTGTGTGTCACAGCAATTTCATCGTTGATCACTTGACTTGGATACAAACGAATCGAATCAAAAATATGATATCAGCAATGATTTAAAAGCGATGAATATTGTGAAACGCAAAAATGTGCTCTCTGCCGCTGTGTATCTTTTTCGAGACAGTTAGGCATCTCATTTTTCCACTGAAATGGTTATAATTTATTCGAAAGTGTCGAGCGCCATTTCCGAGACTTGATCAAATTATTAGCACATCAGCCAGAGAATTGGAATTGGTTTTTTGTTTCTTTTCGGCTTGACTGCTGAAAATGAACCAAACTATACGGAATATGAAACTGTTTATGTGCTTATTTCAGCTTTTTTCTCCTTATATTGACGGCAGCTTCTTTTTCTCCATTTTCCCAGCTCAAAGATTTGTGAAACTGAAAAAAATGTTAGCATGAAACTCCTTTGATTGCAAACTGTGAAATGTTGAAGAATCGAAAAATTGCAACAAGGCCCGTAGAAGTGTTTAAATTTCAGAATATAAATCAAATCTGTTGTAGAAAGAAATGTGTACACAAGAAAATAAACCGTTAAACAGCTCACAAGGAATGGCCAAGAAAAAGTACGCTTCTTTTTGTTGGTTCATCATATTTTTTTACAAAGAAAAAATCTATGAAAACCTAATATTTCATTTCGACCAGTTTCTATTGAAAAATGAGATTTTTACCGTGATTGCAACTCAACGATGAAACAAGCTTATGTCTAACAAACAAGACGCGAAATGTTTGAAACACGAAAATCTTCCAGATCTTCGCATTCACGTCCGTAAACTGTGCCATGATTGGTACTGAACGCTTTTCAGTTCCAATGGAATGTGATGCAACGGCAAATGCGATAAATGCAAAAGAAACTTTAACCGGATATATTTCTCGGTATGCCAAAAGCGTATTCTCAGAATGCAAGCCCGTACGAAAGAGAAAACTCGCTTGGCCACAGAGAAAAAGGTGTAATTGAAAAATGTTTCATTCTCCCGTTTTTTCCCTTTGCTAATATGATTTATCGGTTGGTGTTTTCGATAACGTTTTTATTTCACTTGTGGCAATCATTTTTCATTGCAACCCATGCATTGCAATACTTTTTTCCCTGGTCGACTGCTAACTGACTGAGCCAATAAACACAAGAGCTTGATTGACTTTGGTCGAATGAACAATTTTGTGGTTTTGCTTTTTATCCAGCGACCGAAGATAAAACATGAACCTTAAAACTTTTTCATATGTGTTTTTAGTTTTCGGTTAAAGTTTGAGTTCTTGTTTTTCTATTACACTAAAGTGCACATATCGATAGTAAAATAACTGCTGAATTTTCTGGAGCAATTTGTTCCGCAATTTTATTGGATCAACTCAAATTTTCTACATACTTTGCCATCGAGAATTTTCGTGTTTGTGTTGAACTTTCAAAAATGCTCAAATTCAACCTGTTGCTATTCTACGTAATCGAGATCGAAATAAAAACATGTTCAAGTAATTTCCAATGCGTTCACATTCATCGATGCTAATTACATTGCTTCCCGTTTTACGAAAAACATTGCATGACGACGACGACGACGACGACGACGACGACAGCACAGCACCAGCTCCAAACTTTTGGAATATAAATGTTTATCGAGATAATCGAAGTTGTTAGGAAGTTTGTTTGGTTTGGTTTGCTGTGTGCATGTGTTGCCCGAATTCTGGTTCAAACATTTCTATTGGCTTTTACAATAATACGATAATATTCACGCAACCAAAACGTTGCTATGACTGCACATCTATCTACATGCTGTGTGGGTTTTGTTTGTTTGATCTTTGGTTTTTGCCATTTTCTTAACGCAAAATTTTGTCCAAAATCAATACCGACTAAAAGTTATACACACAACAACGAAATAAATATTGATAGTACGCACTTGAATACAAATACACACACAGCGCCAGAATGGAATGTCAACGATTTATATTCGTACATTTGTTTTTCGTATAGAAATTGTCTCGATTCCGTCGAATGAGGGGAGCGCAGTGCATGCAGAAAATCACTTTTGATACGACAAAAACAAACAGACTGAATAAAAACATCCATTATTCGAATCGGATGGAAAATAGGCAAACTATTACGTAAGCCACGCTTGAGTTACACACAAGAAGCAAGACAAGTATTCGAATCCGATTTATAAAGAGTCACAATACGCATGAAGAACGCACAACAGAATGAAGAGGGAAAAAAACATACCCGGATCGCAGACACAGGACGAGAGCGAGAGTGTCATACAGAAACGTTTCGAGCATTTTACATATGTAAATTACAGGGCTTGAAATAATAATTTGTCGTCGTCGTCGTCGTGAATGTGCGCCGTTTTTTCGTCGTGAATGTGCTTCGAAAAAAGAGAGCAAAAGACGAGAATCCAAATATGGTCGAGTGTTTTAACTGACAAATGACAACAAACTCTTTCCAAGCGAAGCCGAGCAGAGTGGAGCAAAGCAAATATTCACAAATTATTCAAGAATTATAATCAAAGTGTCAAAGTGTTTTTATAAGTAAAAATTGCCTGAAGCCTTGGACAACACCTAAAATAAATTCATTCATAATTTAAAAGTCAAAAATTCAACAAATCATTTACATACGCTCACATCGTTTTCGATTTGGATTCAAATTCCAAATGACACTTTGTGGATCGATGAAAAGAATGAACCCGCTCGAAATCAGCAAAATGGACGTTTTGCATTGATTTTCCAATGAAAAAATCCAATGCCGTCCAATTTGGTGGTAGAAAAGTCGATTGAGAAAAAGAGGCAGGATGAAAGCGAAAATAAGAATGAGGACGAAAGCGAAAGCGGCAACATTCACTAGATTACGCAATACTCGTCGCTACTCGACACAATTGCTGGCAGCACAATCGAAACAGCTTAATAAGGATGAATACACTG